CTACTTATGTACAATGAAACACCTGATGGGATTTGATTCTTTGGTTGGGAATCACACTGGGTCATGGTTTCATGGGACATCACAGTTAATTGGTCAAACAACATGTTTGGTGCTTCTGTTCAGCCTCTTAGTTTGTTGCATAGAGCCTGGGGTCTTAAAAGCTTGCAAGCAGCCATCCAAGGCACAACAATTGGTCTCTATTTACCTGAATCAGCAGAACAGAGTCAGGAATGGGAGGAAGACATGGAATGTGTGCTAACTGCCTCCATGAACAACTGCTTCCTTTGCTACGAGAGCAGAAGAACCGGATGGTGCCCAGCTACCATTATGATCATTTTGATCAGATTCCATAGAAGAATCCTGATCAAAAGGGGAAAATGCAGAACAGAATTTCAAATTCTCATGGCCTCTAAACTTTCTGGAGTCATGGAGGGTAGATGAACCCCTGAAACAATTGCCCTGAGATCATCATTAAACCTTAAACCAAAAATATCCTCTTGAAGTCTTTTTCTTTTTCCATGAGTTTATTACAGGGATGTTTCAAAGATCCTGTCAACCATTTCCCAGCCTTGGGGGAGGGTGATAGCTAGGGGCAATTGGGCAAAACTTGTTCCTTAAAACTGGAGCACACATTTTTCCATTGAGCAATAAGCCTTTTAGTGCAAGGAACTATTTGCTGTAATAAAAAGAAAAGGATACAAAGGTTCAATCATATCCTCTGCCTTCTCAGGGTTCGACTGTCTTGTATTGTCTGTCCCCCGGTCTAAAGTTTCAGGATTTCCATTTATGGAGGAGAAAAGTTCCAAGGCAGGTAGAGTTTTTTATTTTGTATCTTAACAAACTGGAACCTTTAGCTTTTTCCTGATTTCACCTACTCTGCAGAATAACTAGAGGGTTCCTTTGAAAAGTAAGTGAAAAAGGTTTTGGTCCAATTTCCTTCCCCGAAGTCTGGTAGTTCAAACCCACTGGCCACTCCTCAGAAGGAAGATCGGGTGATCTATTTCTGCAGATACTGCCTCGGAAACCCAAGGAGGGGTCGGTATGAGTTGAATGAATTTGACAGCAGTCGGTGTTTTTTTTTTTTTTTCCAAAGAGATTCTCAGGCTCTCCTTAAGGTACACCATTATCCTGTTTCCTATCTCCCCATGGATGTCTGTCTCAATGCATAGAGGTCCCACAACTGACTCGCTGAAGCCTAGTCAATAGGGGCATCCACCCTCTCCCCACAGGGCTCAGGATACACCACAGCCCAGAGCAAACCTTCCATTTACCCACTATCCTGACTCGCTTCCTCAGACTAAACTCTTAAAGCTGAGTTCTTCATCCCCCAGGTGGCTAGCCCTGTATTCTACTGGAGTGGTTCTATATAAATACACCCTCCTCCATATCCATACTCTCTAGCAGCAGAGATTTTATGCCTCATTTTCAGCATTCCCAGAGGGCTCTTCTTACTCTCCTGTTCAGTTTATCCTAAACTCAACTGCCTAGCTCCTCCTTCACAGACTTCTTTTCTTTCTGCTCACAGGATGCACCCAGCAGCTATTGAGGAAAAACCTTCCAGACAGGGAAGGCATCCCTGGCCAAATCAAGTGCAAGCTCTGTGGAGAAACCTGTCCGGCAACTCTGGCATCAATCATCACGTATTCTTCCCCTGAAGTCTTCTTAAAGCCAAATAGTGCAACTTGGCTAATTTAATAAATAAATAAATAAAGGAGCTCTGGTGTAGTACCTAAGGCATCTGACTGCTAACCAGAAGTCTGGTGTTTCAAACCCACCAGCCACTCCT